TTGAAGTCTCTCGCCACTTCTCTGTTTTATTACCAATTTAAACGTCAGTAGCACTTGTTCTTTTAAAACAGGCTCCCAAGGGACTAGCTGACTCAAGCAAAAAGCACCACGCCACAGAACTAGAGGTTTTTGTGGGTGAATGAAGTGAAGGTCCCAGTAACACTTGAGTTGGGTCTGCAGTTAACACTTCAGTGAAGACAGATCCTTATTTTACACATGCACACTCTGAGTTTATAAGATTTTTATGCTTTTTTTTTTTTTTCCCCATAAATTATTTATTTTCTGAAATACTTTTAGAACTGTGTAATTAACACCATGTTTCTGATTTTACACGGGAGGCTGCTTTTTATAGATATTCTGAAGCATAAATTCTGCACAAACTATGCCATATACTTTTTTTTACCTTTAAAAGCTTCCCTCTGCCGCAGCACATATTTTTGAATAGGAATCACAGATTACGTAGTTTAGAACCGTTGTTTACAGGAGTTTTACGTTTCAAGTTTCCATCTTTTATTCCTTTGCAACTGTGAAAGAGTTAATCTCGCATCTTAATGGGAGTTTGTCCTTAATAAGAAAGCATTAAAGCAAGCCAACAATAATAAGCTAAATGAAGGCTATTCTTTTGCCTTTTGTCAATATTTTCATAGCGACAAATAGATCAAACACAAGATATTTTTTAAGGCTTTTATTTTTTTCCCTCTTTGTAAATCATAAATGCTTTGGTATATTTAATTTCAAAATGAGTTCCCTGTGGATTAGGCTAACACGATGGATTAAAAAAAAACCCTTCCCAAACCCTACTAGATCTTAGATGGAAAAGTACACAAAATGTTCTTTTGCTATTTCCCCCTGCTCATTTTCTAGCAGCTGCTTTTGTCCCTATACCTAAAGACCAAGCTGTCTGCGTTCATCAAAAAAGTTTCATAGTCCTATTCTGAGACTTCAAAACATTGTAACACGTATTATTCAGAAGAAAATATTTAAGTACCTAAATATTTGCTACACCACAGAGATATAGCTGGCATATTCATGTGGGAAGAGGTGAAAAACTCTCCCCTGCAACACAAACTCAGCCCTTGAGAAGCAGAGGGAATACCTGCATTTTGCCCCAGTCTGCGCAAGGCACGATTTGGTGTCTTTTTGTGGGAGAAGAGTTTGAAATGTGTGTCAAGATCCAATGGACAGCATTCCTTCTCAACCTGTACAAGCTTTAAACCTTCCCAAGCAAGGTCAGAAGACATTTCTGTCCAGTGAGAGGTGTCTGTAAGACCTGACTAACTTTTCCATGCAAGGGCATTGGCCAGACTTAGAAAATATTCCTCTGCAATGCTCATTTGCAGGAGGGGATTTAAATTTGTGGGCTTGAATGTCCTTTCTCCTGTCCTCACTGGTTCTGTGTGACCAAGGGCTCCTCGGTGAAACGTAGAGTACAGCTGTTAACAACTGCTGTAACATATGGACACAAGCCTTCCGTCAATGCAGCAGGCTGGGGCTTGGTTTCCCGCCCCCATTAAATCTGTTTGATGGTAAATCCTTTTCCTGGAAAAAAAAAAAACTTTTGTAGAAACGATAAACTCTGGTCCAGCTGCGGATGGACGCGAAGGCAGCAGCGGTGGCCATGAGACAGCCCATGGATGGAGTTACACCACGGCCTCAACCCAGAGGGAACGTCCAGGCTGCACTGCCGCCTCCTCCTCCACGCAGCTGAACCAGAGAACCGAGCCTGAAAACCAGAAGGAAAAGGGACAGAACCAACTTTCAGTTTGATAATCCTCAGCTCTCGCAGCTGGCCCCGGGCAGCTGGGACGTCTACCAGCATAAAAAGAGCCCATCAGGAGAACACCGTGAAAACAGCCTTCACGGCTCCCTTACGTGTTTGGTGGCCTGCCCGGCCCTCGTCCAAAGGGAAAGTGTCCCCTCTAACCATTTCACAGGAGTGGTACAAGTACTGACAAGTTACTTACAAACAGCATCCTAAGTTTTAACAAACTTCTTTGGAGAGAGAGAGGCAGGCATGCAGCGTGAACACAAAATAATGAATGCTAACTCACAGAAAAACAAAAATCCCAGTTGCGGCTCCAAAAGAGATTATGAATTTCAGCTTTTGCATGGATGCAATTTTGGTTACTTACCATGTATTTGAAACAATTGAAGTGGGTTTTTTTGCTGTGTTTATTTTGGAGCCAGCTATTTTTAAGGTCACAGTCCCTGCTAAGGGAGGAAACTGTGTCTCTGGGGTACTGGGAATTAAACAGAGGAAAGAAAAAAGCACAGAGAAAGTAGCTGCCTTACAGAGAGACCTCAAATGTTTTGTTTCCTTCCTCGTTCAGTCTGTAGTCAAAGAAGAACTTTACAGTAAACATTAACTTGTGTTTTTTTAAAAAACAAATGTCATTCTGAATTTCACAAGAATTCTTTTTTAACTTTTTCCCTCCTGGAATTCCTTCTGATAAACTGCAATACAAAGGGACACCGCCACTTGTCGATCATCTTTCCCAACCTCAGAGGTGAGGTTTATCACTCTCCTGCCTGTGGTGACTTATTTAACAGCACCTACATCGAGCTAAGTATTTTGTGCAGGCAGCGTTCAAACTCGGAGAGAGAAATGAGGAGGTGCAGGGAAGGCAGCAAATGTTCTGAAAGCCTTAGAAAAGCCAGCTGAGATAGAAATCTGCTACTGCAGAGGGCACATACTGAGTGCTGAGACCACAGGCTCCTGTGCCAGGAACCAGAGGAAACCAGTGCTGAAGGAACGGCGAGGGCAAGGATGGGAGCGAGTGAACAGAGGGGCTGCAGAGACAACCAAGGCACCTCCACCCCCGAGGAGGGCAGAACCGATGGCTGTCAGCCTACAGTCTGCTCTGTCCCTGCCCGAGGAGGTCACACGAGACGATACCACCCCGTATCTGACACAAGGGATTCACTCTGGACTCTTAGGTGTTAAGTAATGCAGAGAAGGATCAAAGCCAGCAGCTATATGGAAAGAGGCTTCTTTCACGGCTTAATTGCTCATTTGCAAAATACCAATGTTGTTTATTTAAGTGGCTATGACCTTTTCTGATGCACTGGTCACGTAAATGCTCACGTGTGGGTGTCAGAAGAACATCATGATAATAAAATACTAATATTTTAGATCAGGAGACGCCCAATTTATTTTGCTGGGACAGCATCCCTACAGAAGCAGAGCCGCACCTCACTGAGGCAGGGGTTACAGCTGTCTCCAACTCTCCCCAGGCTCTGCATCTGCAGAAGAGAAATGCATTCGCATGCATTTTTCAGGTATCTTTTACTCGTGGGCATACCAAGATCTTTGGAATCCCTCCTTTTAGCCAGCCTCTGCTCTTGTCATATCCCAGATGACGGTACATGTCAGGAATGTTCCTCCAACTGCAGTGCCAAGAAGCATTATTTTGAGGTTGCACAAGGTGATTTGCACGGCTCTAACTAAACAGAAAAAGCATGTACAGGCAGGGAATGGCACAGGCACACCAGTCCACAGGATGTGCAGTGTCAACTAGAATTGGTTAGGGAACAGCGTGACTATAACAATATCAAGAAAGCCAGAAAGGAAAGGAGGACACTCCCATGTCTGAACAGTGGTACAACGCTAGACACGATCTGTTCCTTACTTACAAAGATGTTAGCAGTAAGACATAATGATGAAGGGAAAGTCTTTAATCTCTGCTTATTCCTTGGGTGCAACTTGGATAAAGAACACCAATAAAGTGCAGCAATTATCGAATCAGCAGGTTATAAGAAACTTAGCGGGGGGAAAAGGGAGTGTGTGTGTGATAGAAGAGTTCTAAGAGTGGAAAAACAAGGAAAAAATTATCCAGATTATTCTTATTTTGCTTCAGAAAGGGCTCGCTCTGTCTCATGCCCAGGCATCATAGTAAGAAACTATTATTTTGTTTCAGTTAGGATTCTCAAATTTGGGACATTAATAAAAATGGGACAGGAGCCCATGACAATATAAAATAATTTTCTCTTCGGAAATTGTCTTGTAGATGTATATGGCAACTTATCTTCAGGTGTTATCTGTGTGTTCGTATGCAGCCTGACCTGAGCAGGGGACATACCTGCACCCGACTTTCCGGGGACACAAAAGAGCTACACAGCTTTTTCTTTTAACTACCTGCACAGATATCCTGTCATACACATTAATGTAAGTACGTAAAAATACAGATCAGAACTGACTGCTGCTGGTGTGAAGGGAAACTGTGTGACCTCTCAGTCCCATTTCAACACATTAGCAGGCTTTAATAAAGTCAAGCAATATTGTTAGCTATATTAGCACAACTAAACAGTCCTTGAGGTATAAAAGAACTGTGCAGGCTAGAATGAGAGTTTCAATAAATTTAAGAATTAATAGTTTTCAAGTCATATGGTTACCACATTAAAACTAAGCTTTTAAGAGTTCAGGAAGGAGATTAAAAGCCTGTAAAGCACATTTAGATAGTGAATACACAAGAATTAGGTGTGTGTTTTGAGACCTGTTTTATTTAAATTCTGCTGTAATCTATACATGTTTTGGAAGGCAACAAGAAACTCCTCAAGCAGATGATGTTATTCAGTGAAGTTTGAAGACGGGAATACTCCTTCTGACATGCTGAGGGAATGTAGGCTTACCAAGAAAAGACGTTCTAACTGAAACATGTGAATCATTAAGTCTGAAAGAATGTGGTAGCTGCGTAGATAGGAAGAGCACTGTGTTACGCTTGACCAAAACCAGAATACAACGCTGAGGGACTGTGAATTTTTCCAGAAGTTTAGGCTGTGGCAGGGTGTTCTAACTAAGCATATCTTGCAGGGAAGTACTTGTTTTGATTTGCTAGCCTTCTGAAAGAATACACACTTTCCAAAATGTGAACAGCGGAATGTGTTTTTAGTGACGTTTCTTAAAAGCATACTTCAACTACAAAGGAGCAGGAAAAAAAAAAAAAATCTGTTCAAGAGAAAGATCACTTTCTCAACTTCTTAATGCACATTAGGTGACTTACCAAAATACTTCTTTTTTGAGTCACACTACTTTCTAAGTTTCCCTTGCTTGCTTTGACATCGTATCTGGAGCAGACAATGGTAAGCAGAATCTGTTTTGCATGTTATCAGTGAATCTGAAATAAAAGAAAAGAACTTTGTTCAGAATTACTTTTATTCTCCGTGCCTCAAGGAACACAAGCACCGTCAAACTTTAGTACCAACATACCTGAAAATCCCACTGAGCTGTCAAAGACAACACCCCAACTCATCAGAACCCAGCACCAAATGATGGATCTAAGTGAAGGCAGGTTTAAAATAAGGTCTCATGTACAAAAGCTTCTTACCCGTAACACTTATTATTCAGCTGATGTCCAAGAACAAGTCTGAAGCTCACCTAATTTTCCCTTGTTAGGTCTGTTTTCCGTGGCATGCTGTTCAAAATATAACCATTGCTTGAACAAACTTGAGTATTTTTTATTTCTGAGTCTCAGATTTTCACTGTGACCATTTCAGAAACTCTCCCTTATGAAAGAATGACACGTTTGTATTTATGAACAGCATGGCTCATGAACTTTCATACTGACTGGAGTATTTTAATAAAAGCAGAAAGCGTTCGCTTTTTTTGTAGCTGAATCTCATGAGCATGCAACTCAGCAACCCAAAGTATCAATCTAATTAAGCTCCATGGCCTTGATTTTACACATTAATAATCTGATCACTGTTTTTATCAAAATCAAGAAAGAGTCCATAGGAGTTGATAATGGAATCATGAATCTCTGTCACTGCACGGCAACGTCAGACTGCCTAAAAGAACACAGTACTCTGATTATCTCTGCAACAATTATGTAACTTATACCTTCTGGTTTTCATCACCAACTGTTTTCTCAGTTGCTGTAATATCCAGCAAAAGTACGTGAAGCAAAGAAATCCTGTTGTGTGGAATGTGAGAAACTAACTGGTGGAAAAAAATAATCTACCTTTTACACTGTGCTTTGATATCCAGGAACAATCCCGAACTGTCCCTCAGGACTGTTCAAAGGTTGCACCAGAGCTGTTCAGTGCATTCAACATTACATCACTGAGCTGCAAAATCCAATCACGGAGATAATAACGTTTGCTATTTTTGTAATTACTCCAAGCATCTGTTGTGGATGAAGGTATCTCACGTGGTTACGATTTAATAGCAATTAAAGATTTATTAATAGTGTGAGGTAGATCAAAGGTTAAAATTTTAGCCGCACTTAATGGTTGATTGATTTAAAGATTAGCAAAATGATTTGGCGAAATACGTTATGATTAAAATAGTGGCTTGATTACAGATTCGAGAATGACAAGATTCACACTAACTTACTACAAGGTATTCTGAATCAAAGTTTACATACGTAAAACTCAAGACATACACACAAATAGCGGGGAAGTATTTGGATAACCAGTGAAATATATAACCATCCACACTTGTGAAGGCAAACGTGGATAGGTCAACACATAGATAGGTCAAGAGGTGGATGGAAGACACCAGCCTATAGTTAAAATTTTCCTCTTCTTGAGTTTGAAGTAAATGCTCGCAATGTATCAGTCCTTCTCAATGGATGGCAACTGAGAGTTGAGAAGTCTGACTTCACCCCGGCCTTCCGTTGGCTTTGTGGGCAGATAATCTTCAAAATTCAAGAAATCTGTGTCTGAGAGGTGTCTCAGCTCAGAGGAGATGCTGGTCACAGCCCGCTGTGATCCAGGAGAGCTCAAAGGGTCTCATCTAGAGCCACTATTTACAAGGTCTGAGATAACTGACTTTCATCAGGTAATTTTCCATTTCAGCTCAACTCGGAGGAGGAAATACCTTCTACCAGCTGTGCAGGCCCAGGACTTGCTCGATTTCAAAGGTGTGGTATCACCCCCTTTGGCCACGACCCAGGTGCAGATGTACCAGGCTGTCAGGAGGTGACCGGTTTTCATTATCGTTCCCAAGCGATAGGGAAAGCAGCGATCGGGTACGTTAAGGGGGCGCCTTGATGCTCTGGTCCGCTGCCTTTCACAATCCACCTTGGGTTGGTCTGTGGCCCGGGAGTGGGGGAATCACACCAAGCACCGAGCAGCCCACGAGCGGGGACTTAACACCCTCCACAGCATCCTGGTACCAAAAGCAATAATACACTGTCTTCCTCTGTTAAAAAGTTGTTGAGAAGATAGTTTTAGCTTCAGGAAATTAAGAGCATTCTTTTTACGCAGGACACATTATAATCGTGGTCTTTTCTATCATCAGGTCTGTAAAACTTGTTAGGATAAAAACCCCTCCACAAACCTTGCTTTAAGTGGTGCCAAAATCTACACTGAAAAATTCTAACCATCCTCTGTACAGATTAAGTTCTATTCAGGACATGATACTTTCCTTTTTCAGTGGCTGAACTCTCACTTTATACCTCTTCAGAACATTATGCAGAAATATGTTTCCTCATTCTTCCTGTGTGAGCTGTGCAAAAATCTACTGCTGACACAAGCAGCAGCACAGCCAACAGTGAAAAAGCCTTTAAATGTCACCGGCAAAATATCTTTTCATTAAGAAGGAAAAGCACACCCATGATGGAATCCGATTTGTGTTTTTACGGCTTTTAAAACTTCACAACTTACTAATTCCAAGTAGTGATGGGCCTACCAGTTTGGTAAGGATGTACCAGCTTTGTAACACATCATCAGCCAGTGGTAGTTGCTGTATTATTCTCATATTCTTTCACCTTTACCAAGGTATATAGCTCATTAAAAGCAAGTTTTGATGGAGATTGCTATCTTGAAGAAGAAGGTTTAAAGAACACTGTGGCAACAAAATATAACTTCTCTCATATTTCTGCATTTCTAAAGACATAAAGCAGTATGAATAAAATACTCTTAATAGTAGCTGCTGTAATTATTCACCAAAACACCAGCAGGGCGGGAGGGGAAAAAAAAAAAGCTTAAAATGTATTAAAACCATTTGCAATTAGCCTGGTCGCATCCTTCAAGTCAAAGGGAGTAAAGCTGGAAGCCTAGTTCTAAGGTACAATTCATGAGTTTTCATTAAGCACCTGCTGCCATCGGTACTGAATAGGCACAACATTTGTTATTCCTCAAAGCGCCGCACTGAAAACCCACAGATGAATTAAAGAATCAGACCAAGTTGCATGTGTGCCTAACTAGGCTTGCTCCCACGCGGAGAGGGATGAGTATTTCCTCGCCTGGACTCTGGGAGTTGCCTATGAACAGTTACTGTTTGGCTACAAAGAGCAAAACTCTCTGCAGGGTGCTTTACTGTGATTTTCTATCTTAGGGAGGAGGAGTATTTAGTCTTGTTAATGACATTTTCCAGAAACTGCTTTGGATACATTCTTTCCCTCCCCAAAATTATTTTTATGATCGTCAGTACAAATTATTCCCAAGAATAGACTGTCTTCTTACACATGCGATGTCAAATGGAACTGATCAAAATCTAATCTATTTTCTTCGTAAGATTTTTTTTTTTCCTACAATGGATATATATATATGTATTTGTGTAAATCTGTATTCCAAACATTACTCCAATATTTTAAATAATAAATACGATCTTAAAAAGATAAAGTAAAATAAAATAAATAATAACAACTTCTTAAATTATAAATAATAAATTAAAAAGAAAACCAATACTCAGCTTCCACCATCAAACTATCACTTCAAACTGCTCTGCTTCTATAAGGAAATTAAAGTTTTATGCCACCAGTACTGAGAATCCAATATGAGCCTTATCCTTTGCACATAAAATGCTTTGCCTTTGCTCCAAACTCTCCAAGCCAGCTACGTTCTGGTTATCTCCTTCACGTGCCATGTGTGTCCTGCAGTAAATGAAGTACCACAACTTCTTGCCTCCCTGAGAAAAGGCGGTGCCGGCTGCATTCTGCATGCCTCCACACAGCGAGTGCTAATTTCACAGATTAAACAGGTTTTCTCTAACTGTAACCACAATCCCTGTGTTACGATGCCATCAGGGATTTCTCCCCGCTTTACTCAATCCAGAGCTTTACTATCTTGCTATCCATTGTAACTGATGTACATTTACTATGCACATACATATCCATAAAATAAGATAATGTGTCCTACGTTTTTATCCTCTGAAATATGAATTAAGGGCTTGTCTTTGGTGACACTCCGCTCTTTTGTCTGTGCATTACCAGCAAGAGAATAACAACGCTCAATGGATTTCAATCAAGAATTAACAAGAGGAATGAAAAATGTTTTATGTAGTTCCCTTTCTTCGTACGCACGACTAAATCAGGCGTGTCTTCTCGGTATTCGTGCAGATAGACACTGTTTTCATACAGTTATAAATAATCACTGAGATTATCATCACAGAAAGAAGTTAGCGGGGAACAAACACATAAAAAGCCTTTCTGGTTTTGTTTATTTATACACTGTATTTCACAGCACTTTTTCCTATCATAAGTCAACCAGTTAGACATTGCTGAAAGAAACCTTGCCCAACAACAGCAGGAAAAGGAAAAAAAAAAGCCTTGGAATTATTTTCTCAAAGAAACTAAAAGCAAACCAAAACAAGGTACAATATTAGAATGACATTATATTAGAAATTATATACCAGATTTTACCAGCTGGGGGAAAAACGGCAAGCTAAGCATGTCCCTTTAGCTCTCCCATTTCGTTAATTCTTCACCAGTGCATGTACCTACAAAAGACTTCAGCTGAATTCCAGTTTAATTTCTCCCTAGACTATCCGGGAGACATTCTATTTAAATATGTTCTCATTTTCTTCATGGCATGTTATGTGTTTCTTCCCTGGAAGTGCAGTGTGTTGTCCTGAGAGGGTAATACAGGTAACATTTAATACATAATTGTGAAATAATAGTAGCATTTATCAACCCTGAATTCCACTGGCACTATTAATTCTCACGGAATATACCCACACAACAGAGGCCACAAGCTCTGGGACTCCAAAATGCTGTGAACCATTTTCAGCTCCAGCAGCAGGGGAAGAGGAAAGTCAAGAAAAGTCAATCTGCATGAAGACCGGTGACTAAACCAAGTCTCTGTCCTGGTTCTGACAGTTGCTCTTAGAACCTGCTCTCACCCTCCCTAAAATAAAGTGTTTGTGTAATCACAAGGAAACAAGAAAGACAAA